AATCCCCCAACCAAACATGCACTTAGTAACAAAAAAGTTAGATGTGATAGTTTCTGAGAGCATTTTACTGTAACAAAACTCGAATTCTAAATTCGAATCAGTGAAATGAACGGGACCTAATAATATTCACGTAAAAATAAAGAAGTACAAGTAAAAAGAAAAAAATTAAAAGTACGAAATCGAATATAAATTTGTTTTTGGTAAAAAATTCTTATGTAAATTACATAATGATAATTGAGCCTTAAAAAACCAATAGACAAAAGAACAAAAAATAAAGATAAAAAAAAAAAGAAAGACAATAGATCTAATAAAAATAACAAAAAGAGTTGAAAGAAATATTAGAGCCCGTTTGGTTAGAGGATTCATTATCTGATTCGAATCATGGTTCATGGTTCACTACAGTATTTTCTCTTACAAAAAACACACGTAAATAAAAAATAATTATAATCTCATGGTTCTAATCCATGAACCAAATGGGCTCTTAGAGCCCGTTTGGTTAGAGGATTCGTTCTCTGATTCGAATCATGGTTCATGATTCGCTACAATATTTTCTCTCACAAAAAACACACGTAAATCGAAAATGGTTCTAATCCATGAACCAAACGGGCTCTAGGTTATTATGCCCATGTTTGGTTGGTGGATTGGGAGATTCAAATCATATGATTAAGGTCAAATCTGTGTTTGGAAGTCTAAAATGGGTTAGAATCATAATGGGTGATTGAGATCATTTGGGCTCGTGATTGAGATCATTTTAGTGACGTTTGGTAAGGGGATTCATACCCTGATTCGAATCATGGTTCATGGTTCGCTACAGTATTTTCTCTCATAAAAAATTCACGTAAATCGAAAATGGTTCTAATCTCATGATTATAATCCATGAACTAAATATCTCCTCCCCCCCTGATTTTACCGTTTGAAACCCAAGTGCACAGTAAAAAACATTGTGCTCGTAATGCAAGCACTTGGGGAGAGAGAGAACCTGAATGGCGTCCATGTCCGCTATAAGGGCGAACCAGGGCTGAGCTCCGCTCCCCACGGAAGCCCCTACGCCGGTCTTTGCCACCAGGCACGTGTACTCCACGCCGAGCGAGGCGAGCTCCGATCTCACGAGTTGACTTGTCTCGTTCTCCTCAAGCAGCTAAATTTTGCTTGCGAAATGCCAAAAGCCGAGTGTTTTCTGCTTATCCTCTTCTCTTTTAACCTCATTGCCTGAACTTGTGAGACGTTAAAGAAAAACCCATTTCTCAGCAGAAGAGGAAAACTGCAATAGAAATAGAAATAGGAGGGAAAAAAACCATACGCGAATGTCACTAAAATTTTTTTTTTTAACCAGATTTTTCTCAACAGCTTAACACCAGCTAATACACTTTTCACTCTTGTGGCAAAACGTGGAACGCATGTATGGCAATGGAAACATATTTATGGCTTTAAAGTATTAATTTGTGTTTTTTCTTCAAGTGGGTTGAGAAACAGGAAATCCCCTGAATTTGAGTCAGATTGAGGGGTATGAATTACAAGGATTTAGATGGAAAACAAAATTAACACATCGAAATCTCAAAAGAATCTTCATTTTTGGTCAATACACCTGATTTGAGTCGAAAATAATGAAATGCAATTTCAGGGTTCAGCTCAGCTCACTGATCTGGCATTATCGGAGCTGGGTCTCTCATAGAATTGGTCAATGCCGGAAAATTCTTGGTCAGTCGTGCGGTGAAATTGACAAATTACATTTATTTTATAATTTTTTATTACATTTATATAATTTTTTAAATTACATTTAATTCAGAAAACATGACAACTAAACACTGATTCAAATCACATTTCAGGTTAGAATCAGAATCATGCATGTACACATCCAAACGAAGGTTCTAATAACTCTGAATCATGATTCAAATCATGAATCATGAAACTGAATCAAAAGACTCAAATCACCTTGATTTCAATCCTTACACCAAACGGACCCTATTGTTGGTGAATACGGGGCCCGTTTAGTTTGCTGATTTAAGTTTTTAATTCGAATTGAGAGTTTTTTATTATAATAAAAAAATTAAATATAACTGTTTTTAAAATTTTTTTACTATAATAAAATTTAATCAGTAAAATGAACATGACCGTACTTAATTAAGGTCGGAATATTTGGTGATGAGCAAAAAAGGTTGGAACGTTCGGTGGGTTTAAAATGTAAAATGCTTTATTCGATTTGTTTTTTTTTTTTTTTTTTTTTTTTTTTTTTTTTTTTTTTTAGTATATCTGTGAACGTGCCTTCACGCATTATGACAGTTATAGTGTGATTTTGACGGCGCACTCCTCATTTGAGAGGTAGAGTTTGCTGATAAATAAGCATTTAAGTCGACATCTAGAACAACTCTTTTCGTAACGCCCAGAAAAATACACTCCATACTCGTGCATTTCCTTTTAATAAAAAAGGAAAAGAAAATAATGTTGTAAAACATAGAACAATCAAATATATATATATACCAGTATATAGTATATATGCAAGTCATTTCTATAATTAATTAACAGGCATTGTATCTTGCTCTCTAAAAATTGTCTGTCCAGCATTAATTTATTTAATTTTGCTCAATCATCACTTAAATTTCCGTCAGCATTTACGACAATGATTTTCATGGTCTCGTGACACATCTTATACTTATATTTATTTGCCTAGGCGGATGAATCTGGACGCGTTGGGAGGTGTTTGAGCTTGTTTTTTCAAATTGATTTTTGGGACTTAAAATTCATGGGCGACTTTTGTCTCATATGATCTTATGGATCTATCATTAATTCCTTTACACGATTCGGATCGTCAAATAAGCTTTTAGCGGATTGATTGAGAAATAAAAGGCAAAATAATATATAGTTTATCGGAATCTAATTCCACGAGTAAAGTTACAACCCCAACGGAGAATTTAAAGGGAGAGAGAAGAAAAAAAGGTATATATATATATATATATATATATAAATGTATATATTTATAATCGGAAACAACTGAAAGCCAGAGAATCCTGGACATAATGCGGAGCTTTAAAACACGTCTGTTAGGTGTACACTGTAATAAGTTGAAGCCGACCAAATCAAAGATGCTTAAATATTGGATGGTGAAACTTTAGAAATTAACGAGTTCTATAAAGATTGGTTAATATGTCGATTCAAACTATTCGGTTAATTTGTCATTAAATTGTGTAATAAAATGCTGGTGATGAAGCTTCTATTTAGGATAGGGGTGGTTAATTTTACTCAAGAATATGCTATGCTTTCGGCGAAAGGAAAAACCAACAAATTTTGTCATTCAAGAATGTGCACTGTAGCTGAAAATATATTGCACTGGCTTTTAATATTTTATTATGCAGGAAATCGGCTAGAAAAGATTATCAATTTCTGAGTATATGCAAAGCTGGAAACTGATTTGTATTAATATTACTTCAAAAGATTCCGCTTCTAATGTTCCTCTATCAATGGTTATTAGACATTCATATAATTACCAGTTTTATTAGATCTGACAAATTTGGAAGCGACAACATTCATTTTTTGAGTTTCTTCCACTTTTTTTTCACGTTTTACAGTTCCAGTTTGGGTGGGTTCACGCTTATATATGGCGTTTTTATTTTCCCTGAAAATGTTAAAAGGTTTTTATGTTCTTTCTTCTTTGTTATCCTTTTAATATTAATATTTAATCTTTTTTATATATTTAATTAGAATGTAATGTTAAGTTGATTACTGACATGTCACGTGAGTATTTTTGTTAGATTTGTAGACGTATTTAAATTGAGGAGGTATTTTAAATGATTTGTTATAGTTTGAAGGATGTTTTGAACGATTTTAAAAGTTTTAGTACATTTTAAAAAATGGTACATAATTGTGAGGGATTTAATCCTTTATTTTTGTTATGACGATATTGTGGGAATAATATAAATTATTTGTCCATATTATTATTATCAAAATTCAAAAAATATATAATAATAAGGGAAAACTATTTGAGATCATCATGCAGCAGCGTCTCCAAGAGCCCACCGAACCTAAGCATGTCTCGAAAGTGGAGCAAGATCATGATCAAAAGTAACCAGCACAATAAATCAAAACGAGAGAGAAAAATGGTAGAGACTCAAAATTCAGTGAACTTTCGGAGATTTTTCCTTCCTAAAAGCCAATAAAGTTTTGAGGACTAAGAAAAGTTTGCTATTTTCTTATTTAAAAAAAAAAAAAACTCAAAAAATATGGAAAAAGAAAAAACAGTGAGAGAGGGACAACTACATTATGTTGTCATTTCAAGTTGAACTCATTAACAAGTGTGTGTGTGGTGTGTGTGTGTGTGTGTTATATAGGCTTGTGTTTGCTTTGCTAAAAGATAACTGATAATAGATAAATGTTCGTTTAATTTGTTGATTTGAATTTTTAATTCGAGTTAAAATGTGATTTTATATAAGAGTTTTTTATTTTAATAAAAAAGTCAAGTGAGATTGTTTCTGAGACTTTTTTACTGTAATAAAATTTAAATTTTAAATTCGAATTGATAAAATGAATGAGATTTAAAATTTGAAAGAAACTGTACTTTAAGAAAAGCCAAAAAAAAAAAAAAAATAAAATAAAATAAAAGAGTAATCACTGTTAGCTCTATAAGCTGCCCAAACTTATATTGGCATCTAGCATTATCCTCAGGTAGGCCCTCCGATCCCTGTGCTAAGATAAGGGGATAACGGTGATCGGTTATTCTGAAGAAATTTCCCTCAGTTTCCTTTGCTTGAGTGTTTGACCTTTGTAGCTGATTACGTGGACTTACTTTTGTCATTACACAACAGTAGAAGATAGATATCCTTCTAAAGTACTTCCACTAAAATATATATATATA